AGGGTATCCTATTGTTTGGATTTGCCAATAGAGTTGGGGCAGATTCACGACACTTTCCATGTGTTGCAATTGCGGAAGTGTATAGTCGATGAGTCGGCAGTGGTTCCATTAGAGGATATTCAGGTGGATGCGAGCCTGAATTATGCTGAGAGACCAGTGGAAATCAGAGATTGGAAAATCAAAGTTCTGAGGAACAAGGAGGTACCTTTGGTTTTGGTTCAATGGCAGCATCGGAAGGGGTCCGAGATGACTTGGGAACCGGAGCGTGAGATACGCGAGCAGCATCTGGAGTTATTTACAGAGCGAGACTTCGAGGGCGAAGTCTAGTTCTAGTGGGGGAGAATTGTAACAACCCGGAATTTCCAGGTATTTATTATTGGTGTATTTTTGGAAAATTGTGAGTAGACTCGGCGAGTTGGAGCTCAAACTCGTCGAGTAGGATCGTGATTCTTGACGCGGGTTCGCATCTGGACTCGGTGAGTCCAAGAGTGGACTCGGTGAGTCCATGCTGTGTAATGAAACCCTAATTTCCAGGGTTTGAGACCTATTTAAAGGGGCTTATTGCCATCATTTGCGGCCACCAACCCCTAGAGAGAAACCCTAAAGAGATTTGAGCATTTTGGGAGAGAAAAGAGGCCATTATTGACCTTTGGAGCTTGGTTTGGCAAGGAAAAGGAGATTCTAGCTAAGAAGAGGCAAGAGAAGTGGACATTCTACGATTTTGGAGCTCAGAGCATCATCTTGGAGGTATATCTTGGCTTCCTTTTTCGTTATTATGATGAACATGGGGGTTTAAGGTTTCGCGACCCCTTTGTTAGCTAGATTTGATGTCCATTTCGTCCTTAATCATGATAAGGCTTGAGATGAGATCCATAGAGGTCCAGAAGAGTTGTATTTCTTAAGCTTTATGAGTGTTCATGAGAGTATTGGCCTAGAGTTATGAGATATGGGGCTAAAACATCATTTATGAGCAAATAGTTGTTGTTTGAACCCCAAGGTTTGGACTTTATGTAATTATCATGCTTGGGGAGGCCAGATCTATGAATGTATGGAACAAATCTAACCTCAGGAGTGAGTTTGAGTCGTTGCATGGCACGGACTCGCCGAGTCCGAAGAACAGACTTGGCGAGTAGCATGAAGATTGCCCAGCACCACTCAGCGAGTTGTCTTGCCGAGTGAGGGATTAATTCAATGAGACAGGGAGAGTCAGAGTTGGTTTACAGGTGGACTGAGTCAAGCTGGGACTCACCGAGTTGTTCTTGAGACAACTCATGCCAGGTGGAACTCGTCGAGCTAGGAGAATACTCATCGTGTCAAGAGAGGATCCCAGAGAAATCAGTGTATGCACATAGACTCGCCGAGTCCGGTCAAAGTTGACCATTGACCATTGACCAGTGTTGACCTATGTTGACTTGTTAAGGGATAGTCAACCTTATTTGTGAAGTGTTATTTAGAGATGTATTGTATTATAGGAGGAGTATAGATCGGGAGATCGAGCACGAGTGATTTCAGGGACTTGCGAGTTACCGAGATACGCGAGGTGAATCTTCACACTATACTTTAGCTTGAGTAGGTAACTAGAGTTATGTGATATAGTGCTTGTATGCTATATATATGTTATTTGTTGTGCTGCATTATTCTTTGTGATTTATGTTGTGCATGTTTATAGAGTTAGAACCTGAGGGTTCATAGAGTTTGGGTGCACGGACCCACAGAGTTATAGCCTCGAGTAGCTAATATGTATTATATGTGGTATTTTCAGGAACTCACTAAGCTTTGTGCTTACAGTGTTTGGTGTTATTTGTTTCAGGTACTAGTGACGACCATGGGAAGGCGCCGGCTTGATCAGTACACACGCATGGGATTTATGATTTTGAGATCTTGGGATTTTAGTATTACTTGGATTGAATTTCAAAAATGGTTGTTTTATGAATATTAAGTGAATTATGGTCTATAAAATTTGAAAAATTTTGTTTTGAAATTTACGGTGTTACATTATAACTTCCCAATCGTAGTTACTTTAGGAAAAAATGTGAATTTGATGCTAACCTATGAAATTGCACATTGCACCATTATTGGTTGTTAGTGGAGTGTGTGTGGTTAACCGACACACTAATATGGGACTAATAAAGGATGGAAATTGGTAGCTCGTAGTTTGTCATAGCTCAATGGAGCATGTGTGGTTAACCGACACATTGATTAGATGATAAATGACTTCGAGTATACCAAACTAATTTGCATGGTTATTCACACGTTGCTTGTGGTCCTCGGTATCATAGTCACAAACTTGAAGGGCATAATCGAGATTAAACATGTCAATGAAAAGTTCAATAAATCTCAAAGTATCTTGGAATTTCAGTTCATTTAAAACCTAATATTCATTTTTTGTTTTTCATGGTAGAAATTGGTAAATCGTCATTTACCTATCTTCAAACATTTTGCAGTTGGATTACGACATCCCTCTTATGAATTGTAGAATATTGTGTTGGGTCTTAGCCTTAATATTTCATTTGGGTGTTATATTAAGGATTAAATCAACTAACTTGAATTTCTCCCTTTTGTAGATGTCTAATTCTAACAACTATGGTCTTCCCGAATCTTTTGGAAAAAGCTTTCCACATCAAGATGATGTTCCACGATTGGATCATGGAAATGGAAATCATTCTTCACTTCCTCCACCTCCTCCAATAGTTCTCCTTAACCCATGTGTTCGTCAACTTCAAAATTTCAAGATCACTCAAGCCTTATTGACAAGAGAACACAAAGATAGAAGGTCTGTGTGTGCACACATCTTGGAGATGAAGTCACACATTGATAGACTAGGGATGTTGGGTGTTGTTTTCCCGAGGAAGTTGATTGTTGACTTGGTTCTTCAATCACTTCCTGAATCATATAGTGAGATTACTATACGATGGACCATGACGTGACCCTCACTGATCTTACCTATTTGCTTATTGTTGCTGAATCAGCAATGATTTAGCGCATTGGTAAATAAAACTTGACTGGTAGATCAACCTCCCAAACTTCCATGGACATTCACAATGGCAACATTGGAAGCCCAGAAAATTCTTCTCTTCCCAATGGAAAGGGATCACCAAGGTCAAACCGTTTGACCGGATGGAAAATAGAAAGGATGAATCTGAGATTGTCCCATGATCTATTGCAAAAGCATCCATTCGTTTCTACTTCCAAGAGAAAGGGTATTGGATGTGAAACTGCCATATTTACCTGAAAGATCGCAAGGATGGAAAAGTCAAAATGTATGACTCTGCTTCAGGTAATTCCACTATCTAACTCTATTAATTTCCTATTTGTAGATTCTTAATACATGATGTGATGAGATTATATTTTGAGGTTTTGTAGGATCGAAGAAAGGAAAGGAAGCATAACGAAAGAGTGAGCTGAGTCTGATCGCGAAGATATGGATTTCGTTCGCATGATTCGATGATCGGATTTTTTTGAGCTGCTTAGGAGTTATGATAGATTGCTTAGGAATATTAGTAACATAGTTTTCATTTATAATTACGTTGTAAGGACAAGTTTTTTCTGCGGTTTTATAAATAAAGAAAATTTTCATTTTTATCTTATTTTATATCTCCTTGAAATGATATTTGTGAAAATTGATGTTTGTATGTTTCTATTGTTAGCAATATTGAAAATGAATGTGATTCTTAATTATGTTATTTGTGGTAGTGTCGGAAATTTACCAAATATGGAAAGATTGTCAACACCAAAGGTTCAAATGGACAGAAACTTAGAATCATGCGACTTGTATTGTGTGATGAATGAGAACCTTCATATTTGGTAATTAAGACCAATTCCTTGTTCACATAAGTGTGTGATTCAAGTGAAGGACTAGGAGATCTAGTACACATGGTTGTGCATTGGAAAAGTCCACCATGAACAACGATAAGTATATTCGTCATGATTTGCTAAAAGTTAAGTAAACATGGTTATACTTACAAGATTAAGTGTAATTCTGAATCATTGAAAAAGTTTCAATGTATAGCAGAACGAACAAGAATAATCAGTTAGGTAGACAGATAGAAGTTTCTCCAATCTGAAAAGAAAGGAGAGTAATTAAGTATCATGTTTTATGATCAACTTAGTGATTATGGAATTAATTATGTGATCAAGAGAGACTAATTAAATAAATGGGGATCGATTTGGTAAATCAATGATTCTTATAGTGTGGGCATATTGTTATTTAGGATGGGCTAAACCAATGTGGTAGTCCATGGATAGTCCATAGAGGTTTTACCCATGAAGCTTAAGTAATATGAAAGGTCATGGGTTGTGAACCGTTTGAGGCATCACACTTGGGGTGATAAGTTCTTAAAGGCCAAATACAACAAGTTCAACAAGCTACATTAAGAGGTAAACTCCTAACAAGTATTTTATCACTACTAGAAAATAGCCTTTTACGACGCACAATGTGTGTAGTAAAACGCTCAGACGACGCACGAAAGGCCCTGTCAAATCGAGAGACGACACGCTTTTGCGCGTCGTCTATTTACGACGCGCATTTACGAGGCACATTTATGACACACATTTACGACGCATAGTTATGAAACGCAATGCGCATCAAGAAAGGCCTGTCATAAAGGAAGACGACACACATTTGCGTGTCGTAACCATACGACGCGCATGTTTGTGACACACAATGCGTATCATGGAAGCCCTTGTCATAAAGGAAGACGACATGCATTTTTGCGTGTCATAATTTTAAATGTTTTTTAAATTATATATTTTTGATAGATTTACTAATTTTCAAATTAAATAACACATTAAAAGTCTCATAATACAAAATAAATACCATAAAAAATAAAGATAATTCATTGCACTAGTATGTCAAATACAAATAATCATTCAAATAGTAAGTAAATGTAACACATTGATAATATTGCATAATATTTATTATAGAAAATAAAACATGTACAACATTAAAAGAAAACCATGACTAAATTCTCCATTGACAATCTCCTTTGACAATGTCCTTTCTAAGAGAATAACCTAAATGCAAGAACTTTGAGAGGCTGCAGGGCATGGAAGGAGGTTGCTAGAGCTATTAGAACCTGCACATGGTAAATCGGTACAAATAAGAAGCTTGAAGTTGACGGACCTGTAGTCGATTTGAAAAACATCCTAGATGAAATTTGTTTAGTGTTGTCCACCATTGTTACCATAAAGATGAGAAAAATTACTACAAATTTCAGAATTTGCAGACAAGTTGCTGAATTGACATACAAAAGGTACCAATAATAAAATAACTTGACTCATATGTTGTGATGTATATGCAACAGGACATTCCCAATAAATTAATATTTCACATCCTTTAACCTAAAACCATAAAATTGTGATGATTGATGATAATCAAAGAGTCAGATGCTAAAAGTGTTCAAATTTGAGATGTGATAAGGTTTAACCTAAACTCTATACAAACGATACATAAATCATATATTCTTAACAAAAAGATAAGACCTTGTTATAAAAACTCTCAACCAATTGACATTGTGTTCTGATAAAAAGATTATGACCCTCCACCTACGCAACAAATCAAACACTTCAGAGTCTAAAGACAGAACCTATGAAAAAAAAAGTCCTGCAGTTTTCACTTTCTTAATAATTTTGAGTCTGGTATATGAATGATGAAACCCCAATTTCATATCAATAATAAGCTTCAGATTCAAACAGGAAAACTCACTTGTTATATATAATGACAATCAAACTATATCAAGCACAAACAAATTAACTACTACACATGTTCAATGAAAAAAGTAAAGCATATGACAGTAAGCAATTAAATAAAGGTTTAGTTCTGCTTCTTAGGTATTATTATAATGGATGAGCGGAGAGAAATATATGGTTCTGGTTATCCAAACATAACAGGCTCAATTTTTTGGTTGGACAAAAAAAAGATTGCAAACTTTTTTCTCTGGTCTCAATGGATGTCAAAGTAGTACAAGTAAGCTATCTTCTGTTATTTATTAGTTATTAGGTGAGGTCCAGTCTTGTCCCATCTATCACCTATTATGTAGTATGAAACACATCATCAAATGAGAGAATACTAACCTGGACAAAATCAAGACGATTAGATGTACTTTCCATTTCTGAGCCCACATCCTCTATAATTTTCTCCTAAAATGGGAAATAAACAACTAAGCTTATTTTTGGTGATCAAATAAAATATCTATCTATCTATCTATGTCAATTGTGAAGTGTGAAGAAGAAGAAGATGATGATGTCCATGCATAAAGCAGATGTGCACCTGTGAAAGGAGTTCGTCATGTATGGTCAGCCCAACAGATCCGATCCATTCTACACTTGCACTTAGTTCATCTAACTCTTCATATTTTTGTCTATTGTACCATACATACAACAATTACATATTATTCACAAATACAAATTTATATACTTCAATTTTTATTATCATTAACACAATCTACTTTGAACTTTTTTCTTCTTATTCATCTTTAGCATTGTACATTCAACATCTTATTAGGACCTAAATGTTTTCCATTTGGATGACATTGTGGTAAAAATTTTAAAAATAAAAATTTATATCACAAAGGAACGAAAGTAGGATTCTATAATAAAAATACATCATCATCCATGCTCATTTTTTTGGTTCAAAAAACAATTTAAGAAGTTATAAACAACTGGTAAAGGTATGTTAGATCAACCCATTGGACCTGCTTTTTTAGGTATATCTATCAATAAAATATGAGTATAAAAACAATTAATTTGGGGCTAGTAAACAAGACAAGACACTCTTTAAAATGATATATCTAAAGAAATTATAAAAGCAAAAGCATACCTGATGAGAAGCATCTGTATGTCGGATTCTGAAGAAAGAAAATCATCATTATCTACAACAACATATGATCCGGTTCTGGTCCTGTCCTTATCCTGCTGCTGATGAGACTTTGGCATCTACATTAATTCTTGGCGCAACCCACTAAAGTTTGAATTTCTTTCGTTCACAGTCACTGCTTTCTTAATATTTCGCACCTGATTGGTTAGTGTTTACATTCCACACATAGAAAATAAATGATTATAAGATGATAAAACATTAACATGCTTTCCCTATACCAGGAGGACCGTAAAGAAGAACACCAGAGCGCTTACGTAGCCCATATGAAAACAAATCTTTATGCAGAAAGGGGAGATGTAAATGCATTACCAATATGTCACAACTTATGCCAAAGCTTACAACAACCAACTGGAATTCAAGATTCCATTCCTATGTAGTATGTACCTGAACTATATCAATAATACATTTTTTCACATCTTCCAGCCCACCAACATCCTCCCACATAACATTAGGGACCTACACACACAAACAACTCAAAATTAGTACCCTGTAGAATAGATGTAATGCCACCAACCATTTTTTATTTTACACACCTTGGGAGTCCCCAAAGCCGATGCATTCCTTTTCTTTGACCGCTCCAAATCTTTGACCATGAATTCTTTGCTGTCACCCAAATTCTCAAAGCTATTTCCATTTATAGGAATCAAACTTGAACTAGCATCAACAACTAATTCCCTAATATCCCTTGGCATGAAACCAGATGTCTGTCCAACCATATCTTTTACAACATCCTCTGTACAAGTTTATAAGGAGCATACATCATTCATTAGATTTTAAGATAAATATATGTATACAGTAAAATATTCTTATTCTTATTATTACTTACATATGGAACCAATTCAGGGATAAGGTGAAGTAACTGGGATAGCATTTCCAATCTCTAGTCTTCGGTCAAACCTCCCATTTTCATTTCATGGCTGAAACAACGCCTAATTGTAGGTGGCAACCCTTTAGAGTTATCAGCAGCTTCAACTAGCAACATAGGATGGGTATTAATCGTGTTCATATGCTGCATAATGAGAGTAAAACAATGAGCAGCCAATGGATAATTGACATATTTTTATGGCAGAATTCATCATCTCAAAACATCAACCTCTGATTCTTCTTCATCATCTTCATAATCATCATCTTGTCTAAATGGCTCGGTGAATTCCCTAATGACAGATGCAACTTTAGAATTCATACCAAATTTATCATTTTGTGAACCATCATTAGAGCTCAAATTGCTGAAAGCATCAAAATGGCGCAGCAGAAGAATAGTTGGTGTGTATCGGCAATAACACAAACATAGTCATACATATATTATCGGGAATTAATTATTACTATGAAACACATAACAAGAAAGTAGATCATTTCACATCATAATGGTTGTGAATACCTACGAGCTGCACTGAAAGCTTGAGCCAACATGGAAGAAGCCTTCATCTATGAATATGCAAGTAAATCATGACAACTATACTCAACCACATGCAACCCAAGTTGAGAAGCAACATGATTCACAACAGTCCTCTTACCACACCCAGGTAAACCAAACAAAAGAACAGCAACCCTAAATTTTAATGAAAGTGCTGATGGGCATAAAGTTGGTGTGATAATAGAGGCTAGGGACTTTATTGTGTCTTGATTTAAAGGACGGTAATGTGTTCTCTACGCATCCCCAAAAAAACAAACCATATTCATTAAGAGCTCCAGGAGAAGCAACAATAAAACTTCACTTCAATGGAGAAGCCAACTTACAGAATCTTGAATCTCATCTTTTATTGGATAGATATACTTTCACAAATCTTTGTATACATAATCTTGACTCCGACCTCATCTATTTCTTTTCTTTCCCGAAACTGGATAGATAAACTTTCACAAATCTATGTATATACAAGATGTAAAAAAGTCAAATTAGACAAACCTTGAGAGTACTTCAAAATTTCTAAAGCAAGAATCAGTTACAACTAACAAACAAAACATTAAATTGAAGAGTAGAAGTGTAGAAATAGAATAGTAACTAATGATGAAATTGAAGAGTAGAAGTGTACACTTATACTCTTCAAATAAGCATTAATACACATCAACTGAAAGACGTCATCATTACTAGCAAAAGAGCCTCCTTGAAACGAGTCACAAAAAACAGAGAACTATAAGAGCGTGAGGTGATATTTTGTGAACGAGAAACCCTAGTTCATCGATTCTCTCACATGAGAATTTTGTGATGTTGTGGCAAATCGATCTGGTTCACGGTAATAATACCCCAATGTGACTACCTTCTCAATGTATCCCTGCATCTCATTAGAACCCAATGCATTTCATTTGCCCTAGTTTATGCCTTTCTTAACTCACACCCAAATGGATAGAAGTTAGGAAGTTCATTTCTTCATCTTCTTTGTCGGTGCGGGCAGTGAGGGTTGGAGGCGGTGGATGTGGATGAGGAACGCGGAGACAGAGACATGGATTGAAAGAAGATATAAGAGAATAAAATAGAGAGACAAGAGGGGCGAGAAGAGAGTGGATTTTGTACTTTTCTGTTCCCCTCCTTCTCCCTACTTTCATATTCTGATGATAAGCTCTGAAATGTTCTCTATTTACTTAAGATCGCTTGAGAAGGAGAAGAAGTGAGCCTGAGGTTGTTGGCGTCGAATCAATTATAGAGAACACGTAACGTGTGAGTCAGTGTTCAGATGTTCTACAAAAAAACCCTAGAAATTAATAGTGTAATAAGAAACACGCGTTTGAGTAAAAATTATAAAGCGACATCTGCAGACGACACACACTTAAAATAAAAGCGCCTTCGGTGTTTGTAATTTTTTTATTGGACACTAATTTTAGGGCACGCGCAAATCTGCGTCCACTATCCTTCAAATTTTGCGAAACTGACATTATTTTTTAGGGCACGCATAAATGTGCGTCCTCTATCAGCACATGTCATTATTTGCGCGTCATTAAAGGGTTGTTTTCTAGTAGTGTATGTTTTTTATGTCAATTGTATGATAGTTGGCGGCTTAATGTTATAGAAACAATGTTGCATGTATAATTAGAGAAAACATAGATCCAAAGCATTTAAGGTTGTATGTACACCATAGGATGTTGTAGTATACAAAAACCCAACAGTTGTATCAAAGCCTAGGATTATTTTCTATTAAAATTGATCCTTGGTAGTTTTTCAATGTAGAAAAAATTGATTTTCTGGCCATCTGACTGATGAACTCGCCAAGTCCATTGGGTGACTCGACTAGACCACTCAGTATAGGGTCAACTCGACGAGTCATGTTCATGTACTCGACGAGTTGATGCTTCTAATGGTAGATTTTCGGGATTTTTTGCCTGTTTTTGATTAGGATCATTATCACAAAATGTTTTAGTTCATAAAATTTTATTATGTTGGTATGGTAATGATCATGCTTATCAAATTAAAAGATAATTGTCAAAGTTTCAATATTTGTATTAGTTTATATAATAGACTAATTTCTTGCAAATTGTTGATATTAATTATCTTGACTTATAAGTTTAACTAGATCATAGAAAAATTATTTGATAGTTTTTATTTGTTAGAATATTTGATCTAAATGCTTTTTATGAACTCCATAATTTGTCCTCAAGTTATGGAAAATGAAAAATATCTTTTAAATGGTTTTAAAGTCTTCCATAACTTGTCCTCAAGTTTTGGAACATGAAAAGTTTTTCCAAAAAAATACATTAAACTCATAAGTTATAGAAACAAAAAGTTTTTGAATAGTTCAAAACTTGCCCTCAAGTTTTGGAATTTGTAAAGTCACCCTTATGAATACTTAGTTCCAAACCCTAGAATTTTAAAAGTTAAAATTCAAACCTTATACTATTATAATATTAAAAGTCAATATATATATATATATATATATATATATATATATATATATATATATATATATATGAGTAAGTCAGTCTTACCATTAGTAGGCCTCATTCATAAAGCCAGTTTAATGGGTGTCCACTCTCACCTACCGCTTCCTTGACTGGTGAAGGGTGATTAGCCGAACGGGTAGGATATGAAACCAATTCTCATTATAAGTATAATAATAATTAAAAAGTAACTAAAATTTTATTAAATTCTCAATCTTAGTTAGTTTAGGAAACATGTGAATATAGTGTTATCCCTTGAAATTGCACTTCGCACCTTGTTAAGTTGTTAGTGGAGGGTGTGTGGTTAACCGGCACTAATATGAGACTGACATTGCGTGGCAAAGGGTAGCTTGATGTTAATCATAAATCAATGGAGCGTGTGTGGTTAACCGACACATTGATTAGGTGATTTGTAACATTGGGTGTACCAAGCTAATTTTCATGGTTATTCACACCTTGTTTGTGATCCTCGGTATACAGTCACAAACTTGAAGGGCACAATTGAGATGTAAACATGCCATTGAAAAGTTCAATGAATCTCAAAGGATCTAGTAATTTCAAACCAATTAAAACTTAATAATTAATTTCATTTTTCATGATGGAAATTGGTAAATAGTCATTTAGCTACCTTCAAATATTTTACAATCGGATTACGACATCCCTATTTAGAATTGTAAAATATATTGTTGGGTCCTAGCCTTAATATTTTATTTGGGTGGTATATTAAGGACTTAAATCAACTATCTTGAATTTCTCCCATTATAGATGTCTAGGTCAGACAATTATGGTCTTCCTAAATATTTTGGAAAAAGCTTTCCTCGTGAAGATGATATTCCACAAGACAATCAAGGTGAAAGATTAATCCCTTCTTTGTGCTATAGTGCAACTTCACTTCCTCCACCTCCTCTAATAATTCTCCTAACCCACAAGTTGAAAGACATGAAAAGTTCAAGCTCACTCAAACCCGATTAGCTATCAAACACCAAGATGGAAAGTATGTGTGTACACATCTCTTGGAGATGAAGTCACACATTGACAGGCTGGGAATGTTAGGAGTCGATGTCTCGAGGAAGCTGGCTGTTGATTTGGTTCTTCAGTCACTCCCCGAGTCGTATAGTGAGTTCATTAAGGACTACTATATGACTGATCACGACATGACCCTTATCGATCTTACCTATTTACTTGTTGTTGTTGAATCAGCAATGATTTGGCGCACTGGTAAAGCAAAATTTGATTGGAATATCTATTCCACAAACTTCCATGGCCATTTACAATGGTAACATTTGAAGTCCAGAAAAGCTTTCTCTTCCTAACGGAAAGGGGTAAGCCATGGTCAAGTTATTTTACCGAATGGTTAAGAGAAAGGCTATGTCTGAGATAGTCCTGTGTACCATTCCAAAAGATATTGTTTCTTTCTATTGCCAAGAGAATGGGTATTGGTTGCGAAACTACCATATTTATCTAAAAGATCCCAAGGATGGTAAACTCAAAATGTTTGACCCTACTTCAGGTAAATTCCATTATCTAACTCTATTTAGTTCGTATTTGCAAATTCTTAATACATGTTGTAATGTAATTACATTTTGATGTTTTGTAGAATCGAAGAAATTAAAGGAATCTTAAAATTAAGAGCATGTTGAATCTGATCACGAAGAGATGCATTTCGATGTATGGTTCGAAAATCAGATTTTTGTGCTGCTGCTTAGGAGTTATGATAGATTGCAATGAAATATATAGTAACATAGTTATCATTTGTAACTACATTTTAAGGAAAAGTTTTTCTACAATTTTATAAATAATAGAAATTTTTTGATTTTATTTTATTTTAAAGTTTCCTTTCAATGGCATTTGTGAAATTTGTTGCTTATACGTTTCCATTGATAGCAATATTGGAAAATGAATTTGATTCTTTTGTTTGTGGTAATGTCATAATTTACTGAATAAGGAAAGATTCTCATCACCCAAGGTTCAGTTGGGTAGAAACTTGGAATCATACAACTTGTATTGTGTGATGAATGAGAGCTTTTGTCTTTGGGAAATTAAGACTTATTCCTTGTTCACATGAATTTGTGAGTCAAGTGAAGGACTAGGAGATTGGGTACACTTGGTTGTCCGCTGGCCAGGTTCACCACAAAGATCGATAAGACTATTCTTCATGATTTACTACAATTTAGTAGATATGGTTATGCTTACAAGTTTAGTATAAATCTGGAACATTGGAAAAGTTTCAATGTATGGCAGAACGAATGAGAAGAACCAAAGTAGAAAGATAAAAGCTTCTCTAATCTGAAAAGATGTGAGAGTACTTTAGTATCGTGTTTTATGATCATCTTAATGATTATGGAAAACCATATCACAATTGATACTCTAAGGATATCTTAGTGCATTTTTATGGCTAAGAAGAGGAATCATGAATTGTTGAAATGGTTACATCAAGAATATGTGTCATACTTCGTTCCAAAACAAGTCTTAGAGTCAAAGTCCAAGATTGTGCCATGATTAACATAATCTTAAGATGGTTTAAAACACTCATTAAATGTTGAGTAAAATGTTTTTGCTCTTGTACATTTGAAATTGGTAAGTTGTGATGTCTTGGTAAGGAAAAAGACTAATAGACCAATTGTGTGAAGTGTTTATCTTGAGAAGAATCCGCACTGATTCTTGAATATTTGTTTTTTCAAGGAATGGTTCATGACAAGAGAATCTTATATGTCAAAAGGGCAGTAGGAGTCTTAAAGATCTTGGAAAATTTTCAAGAACTAATCAAGAATAAAACCTATTGTTTATCACCAGCACATGACTTGAGACTTGCAACCTATAGTGTTGACATTTCTTATTTTTATGCTTATTCCAGTTAAAAGTTGAGTATGCATGTGAGTTCTATGAGTCCTCAATTGTTTGCATAAGGCAAAGAACCTCGATCAATGAATTTTCATTGATCAGTATGGGTGAGTTGCTTAACAACTTGGAAGACATGGTAGGCCCTTGTGCTGCCAGGTGGCAAGAAATTAAGATTGACCAAGTTCAGTCCATATGAGTTTGGATTTGTCACAAACCTTTTCTTATGGTTATGGTTTGACAAATTCACATGGATAGGAACACATACACCATAAAATCTAAGTGTCATAAGGTTTATCTCCGCTTCATGAAAATTATTGTGAGGAAATGCTTTCACTAAGTAGATTCTAAGGAGTTAGCAATTATGGTACTTGCATTCTCAAATTCGATTATGATTACAACATCCCTCTTCATAGTTCGAATTGTAAGAAATAGAAAAGGTCTAAACATTTGAGACTTATTGTTGTAAGTTCTAAAATTGTTTAGACACACATGTAAGTTATCTAATGAAAGGTGTATAAGTTTGAGAAGACTAGATAAAGCCTTATCGAAGCATCTTTTATCAGAAATCTGAACATTGGTAATCAATGTCAACAAGTATTGATTTTTAGAGGTCAAACTGATTTCTGGGTACATGTCATAGCTAGTGAGAGTATAAGTGTTATGAAAATAAGAATATAATTATTATGCTAGTGGAAGCATAATTATTATGGTAAGTGTTGCAAGTTGGCAATGTTAGTTATAAAAAACAAAAGTTTCAAATCGCAAAGTTACAGGGTTTGAATTGTTGTTTTGCTATAATTAAGGGAGATGAATTCATACTTCATTTCAATTCT